ACCTACCAATTAAATATAAAAACCCACTCCTCATTTCTCTAGCTATTGCCAAGAAAACAATCTTTCAAAATTGGAAATCAAAAAATCACTACACATAAACCACTGGACCAACCTTCTGACAGAATACATACATAGAGAAAATGTCATCCACTCACAAGAATAGTTTATCTGCTTTTTATGACACATGAAACCCATTTTTAACACATTTCAACTTGAATCAAATACCTCAGGCTGAGGCCACGCACATTCCCACCAACCTCTAGAAATGTAACAAACTGATTTTTTTAATAGTACTGTTATCATCATTATTATTGGTAAAAAAAATTTTTTTTTTATTTACTTCCGCTCCTTTTCACTTTCTTGCATTTCATAGACTGCATAAGTTGGAAATATCCACACTTCACACACTACAACCTCGTTAAACACTATATCCTTTTGTAATGTCATGTAACTATTGTCTTGTCTCCAATGTTCGCTACTGTTTTGTTAATGTGTTACTTTGTTTCAATAAATAAAAAAAAGGTTAGAATATGGTGGCATATTATGAAATAAGTAATTATAGGAAAAAATATTCTAATATAACCAACATTGAGAGAGAATACAATTATAAATCCTGCCTAGATTCGCCGTCAAGGACGGAGCAACTCTTGGAGCATGGCGACATCGATCCAAGGTGGACCCTGACTCATAACTACCGCTTTCTTTGTCCGGTTGACTCTGACGCTGATCCGCCTTGCCCATGCTGCTGACTTGTGAGACGCTCCTGCCGGCACCACGCTCTAGACAATCTTTGCTGAATGGCTCGTGCAGCTTTGCTTCAGGATGGGCCGGCCCCGCTCCTTCTTGTGCTTTTTAATGCAAGATCCCTCAACAACAAGACGTTCATTCTTAATGCCTTTATCTCTGTGTATGACCTGGACGTGCTCTTTCTCACTGAGACTCGGTTAACACAAAAAGATAATAGTCCGTTCTCTAAGCTCTTTCTGGCTGGACATTCATTTCTTAACACTTCACTCCCCTCTGGCAGAGGGGAGTGTCAGATTATGGATTCCATCGGACTGTTTTTAAATATACCTTTAAATGCCAGTTCTTCTCCGCCAAGAGTTTTTCTAGCTTTGAGCTACAAGTTTTTGTTTTAATGCTGCACTGCCCTATCTTATGTGCAGTGGTATATCGCCCGCCTAAATTTAAGGACTTTGTTAATGAATTTGGCGAATTCATTAACAATTTATCCCTCAGTTTGACTGTCTTCTTATCTGTGGAGATTTTAACATTCATGTCGTGGCTAGAGTGGTGATGCCTACTAAATTAATTCAGACAAACCATCCCAATTTAAAGGATCATTTAATATTACAATTATCCTGAACAGAGTAGCAGTTGAATAGATAATCTGATAGTTAGGGAAACAGAGAACAGATGGAATGGATACAGTATTAAAGAAGAAGATTGTCAGAGTGCCAGTCAGTCTTAATTCAGCGTCCCCCCAGCCGGCTGGGTTCCCCCCAAAAATTATACTCTCCCTGTCACAGTAGCGTTCTCCTCTTCTCCCTTCCCCTGCTCTAACCCAGCTTTTTATCTGCTCGCATTTACACAGCCCTTCATGGCCTGAGCCATGAAGACGCGGTCCCATGCCAGCTACCCTCACACACCTTCTTTCGAGCATTGTCTAGAAATGTCCAGTACATGAACTTCTAGGTCGCATTGACCTAGCGCACATTTCCTTTTTCTAAATCTGAACAGAGCACACGAACAGTTCACATAAGGCTACAGCTACAGTATATCCATTCCCTATCTGAGGAGGAAGTCACTCAGGATGTTGACCCATAGGTTAAACAAGGGGGACCCAGCCCAAGATATTCTTGCCTGCACCAGAAACAGATCAAGCTTCCGTACACACTTAGTTCAGCCTTACATCCTTACACAACTAACACAAATAATATCTTAATATGAACTACATACTGTTCTATTACATATTACCTCTGGAACCTTGTTTATTGTTAACCACTGCCCCTCTGACCAGCTAGCGAATGACTTTAATTCTCTGTTGGACTTTTTCGATCTTACTCAGTCAGTTGTATGCCCCATCCATCAACGTGGGGGCACACTGGACCTTGTCATTTCACAGGGACTGTCTTTGCGCATGGGGCATGTGTCAGATGTGGCTATCTGATCATTTTTTCATCCATTTCGAAGTCCTACCCCCGCTAAATTCATATAGACCCTTGACTCTATGTCAGCGTCGCCGGGTGATCACCTCTACTACAGCCTCTGATTTTGCTGTTGCCTTCCAAGCCTCTGACTTTTATTCCTCAGAAGTCCTGCAGCTTCCTTTATGTCCTGATGCTTTTCTCTCCTCATTTGACTCCACATGCTCCCCGATTATGGATTCGATCGGACTGTTCAGGAACAGGACTTCTAGATACAGACCTGCTCCGTAGTTAAATGGCACCACCCGGGCATTGCGGAGACGCTGCAGGCAGGCGGAACATAGATGGAAGAAGGATGGCCTGCACATCTCTCTGGGCATCTTAAGAGACAGTCTGGTTATCTATCAAAAATCTGTAAAAGATGCCAAAACTAAATACCTTTTTAACATTATTTCAAAAAATAGTCATCATCCTAGAGTTCTTTTTAAGACTATAAAATCTGTTGTTAATCCTGTTGGTTTCCTGTCTAATGAAGGGTCAGTTCAGACTTGTAACGAGTTCAAATGCTACTTTGTTGATAGAATCTGGGCCATTAGACAGAGTATCCCCGTGACGGCTCCTCCCGTACCAACTGGTTCTCCGGTCCAGTATACTCTGGAATCTTTTACTCCAATTTCTCTGTCACAACAAAAAAAAATGTGTGCAACAGTTAAATCCTGCTTACTGCCCTTTAGATCTTGTCCCTGCCAGAATAATCAAGGAGGCAATAGACACTGTCAGTCCCTCTTTGGTTTCATTTGTTAACTGCTCCCTCATGACAGGTAGTGTCCCTTCCGCCCTTAAGCATGCTATAGTGTGACCCCTTCTTAAGAAGCCTAATCTTAACCCCACTCTTTTGTCCATTTTGTCATTCAATTTCTCTTCTACCTTTCTTATCTAAGATTGTGGGGAAAATCGCAGCTACAGTCACATCTGGATTGTCTGAATGTTGTTTTCAATCAGGTTTTAGGGCCCACCACAGTACTGAATCTGCATTAATGAAGGTCCATAACGATATCACTATGGCCCTCGATGCCAAGTGCCCTGTCATTTTAGCTCTCTTAGACCTCTCTGCAGCCTTCGACACCGTCAACCGCGCAGTTCTTCTCTTCCATCTGAACATTACATTGGCCTCAGAGGCGCGATGTTACAGTGGTTTACTCTTTTTTGATAAATGGGTCCTTCTTGGTAGTTATTGACAACTTTTCCTCTGCCTCTGCTCCTCTTTCTTCTGGTGTTCCCCAAGGCTCAATTTTGGCTCCACTACTTTTTTCTTTATACATGTCTCCTCTCGGCTCAATCATATTGAGGCACAACGTCCACTTTCATTTTTATGCAGATGATGTTCAGATCTATTTGCCACTGGTGCAGCGTGATTCGAATGCTCTAACCTCTTTGCACAATTGCTTTGGTGATGTTAAACATTGGCTCAGAACTTTCTTCATCTAAATGAAAGTAAGACAGAATACATTGTTTTTAGCCCCGATTCCTCCGCTATTGTACCTCATCTAGGGCCCTCGGTCCCATCACTTACAGGTACTGTCAAAAACTTAGGAGTGTTGTTTGACAGCGGCCTTAAATTCGGTCAGATCTGTGGTCAAAACCACACCTTCTTTCACCTGAGGTTTTTAACTAAAGTGAAGCCCTTTCTGTCACATGCTGATTTATAAAAAGCCATTCATGCTTTTATTTCTTCGTGACTCGATTACTGTAATGCCCTTTATATCGGAATTAATCAATCTCTTCTTTGGAAGCTACAGCTGGTACAGAATGCTGCTGCTCGTCTTTTCTCAAATACCCCCAAGTATTCCCACATCACTCCTGTTTTTTACTCGCTGCACTGGCTGCCAGTGAAGTCCAGAATTGATTTTAAGGTGTTATTACTTGTATTCAAATCTATTATCGGCCTCACTCCATTATATCTGTCCAATCTGCTGTCCATTTGCACTCGGCTCAGGGCTCTGTGTTCCTCAGAACAGGTGTCCCTGGACGTCCCGCGAACAAAATACAAAAAATGGGGCGATCGTGCATTTGCCGTTTACAGCCCCAGGCTCTGGAACTCTCTAACGCTCGAGTTTTGGTCCATAACAGAGTTATCGCTTTTTAAGTCTAAACTAAAAACTTATCTTTTTAGACAGGCTTTTTGTGGTTAATTTGCTTCAGTGGCATCATGTTGATGTCTTTTACCTCACTGTTTTATATTTATACTGGATATGGAAGCCTAAGTTCTGTGAAGCGCTTTGGGCTCCTACCGAGTTGTAAAGTGCTATACAAATAAAGTATTATTATTATTATTACTTTTATAATAATAATAATATTATGCTAGAATTTCCCTAATGGACAGAGCAAGATGAAAGTGCTGTTAAATATCAACTCAACTCAACTCAACTTTATTTATATAGCGCTTTACCACAGCACAGCTGACCAAAGCACTTAACATATCAAACAAATATATGTCATGTTGACATTGTTTTCCAATAACCGTATTTTCAATTGTGCGTCCACAGCACCACATCAGCTGGATGGATGTGTGTGATGTTGAGAAAGAATAGGTTAACTGTTGGACTAAACATGCCCCAAAAGTACTGAACACAGCTGGTAAAAGCTTCAGATGAGGAAAAAAACACTCCCTCCAGTTGATGATAGAAAACTATTTTGCCGTGATGTCATATGGGTAAATGTTGCAGAAGACAGCCTGTGTGATGATTAATTTTGTTTTAAACTTTTTCTTTATTACATTTTCGACCTTGTCCTTGCCTCGTTTTCTGCACAGCGGATGAAGTTTCTGCTGCTGCAGCAGAAGTATCTGGAGTATCTGGAGGATGGCAACGTCCTGGAGGCTCTGCAGGTTCTCAGAGCTGAGCTCACACCACTCAAGTACAACATAGAGCGTATCCACATCCTGAGCGGGTCAGTGCACCAGCAGACAGGCAGAGGTGTGGTAGGAATCATTTTGGCAGTCTCTCTATTGACTTTGCTGTCACTAAGTTCAACAGCAGTAATTGTAATGTCCACTTTAATTAAAAGGGCCTTTTGAAGATCAGTAGGAAAGAGTACTGAAACTACCAATAGCCTTTGTTACAGAACTTGAACTTGGAAAAAAAAGGCTTTCTCTGTGTCCTTCAGAATTCCATGCTTGTCAGGGTGGAGAATGCTCTGAAACACTTAGACCAACACAGAACAGTGGAACACTAAAAGGCCCAGACAGTGTTCATCCATCACTTTTCCATCTCAGAATTGTTACTCTTCCATTTTGCAACCAAATCAACACAAGACTCCAAGACACGTGCATGTGATGTGTGTCATTACAAGACCCCTTATGTTTTTTTTTTATTTGTTTAATGAAGCACAATCTGCGTAGGCAGCCTTATCTCACACAAATCTCCTGCTGTCTGTGTGTTTATTTACTTATTGTTGGTTTCAGTAAGAATCCCACTGAACACTTCAGTTTTGTTATGGGCTTTTAAGTTTACTTTAAGCATGTTATTATGTGTTTGAAGGTACCTGATGTGCAGTCATGCAGAGGACCTGCGAGCCAAAGCAGAATGGGAAGGCAAAGGCACAGCATCCCGAACAAAGTTGCTGGACAAGCTCCAGAGTGAGTACTGTCTGATTCACACCACAAAATTGTTTTACTCTGCACAGCAGCTATTGCATACTGTGTGTCCGTACACAAACCTGTAAGCATCAACAGCAGTGGGTTGTTCTTCTGTATAGTGTGTGTTGGACAGTTTGCTTTTCTTGCCCACTCTGAAATCCTGCAGCTGCTTTTTAGGCAACATTAGCACAAGGTTCCCTGTCTAGGTGATGTGTAGATACAGTATGATTCGGTTTTTGTTTTATGTACACCTATTGGAAACCTTATGCACACTGAAATCAGATTTTTGCTAATTTTCCAGAACAGATTTTGAAGAGTTATACCTTGACCTGATCTTTGGTATACAACATTATCTTCATAATATATATTATAAAAATCCTTAGGTGACATTCAAGCCTCAGGAGGTTATTTACAATAGACTGTACAGTATGAAACACAGGGTAAAACAGAACACTAGTACTTCAACATTTTCCAGTCCATCCATTATTTATACCACTGAATAGGGTCACGGGGGGCTGGAGCCAATCCCAGCTGACACTGAGGAAGAGGCGGGGTCCACACTGGACAGGTCGCCAGTCTATCACAGGGCTGACATGTAGACATACAACCACACACACTCACATTCACTCTTACTGGCAATTTAGAGTAGCCAGAAACCTAAGCTGCATGTCTTTGGACTGTGGGAGGAATTTGGAGTACATGGAGAGAACCCACACAGGCACAGGGAGACAATGCAAACTTGTTCCCAGAACCTTCTTACTGTGAAGACACAGTGCTAACCACCGCGCCACTGTGTTGCAACATTTTCCCATTGTCTTGGGTAATGTCACACCATATAACACAGATTGGAATGGCCTCATCTTGTTTGTTGCATGTGTACAAATTAGAAATGTCCTGATCTGATCAGTATCAGTGCTAATCCGGGCATATTTTACAGGATCAGTATCGGCCAGAATAAAGCCGATCCTTATTTAGAACTACAGTCCTGTATTTGAGTGGACACAGTCATATTTTTGAGACCCATGTGTCATACAACCAATAAGCTGCTGTATGAATCAATCCAGCTGTCTACACTGCCTGTCTGTGGGCTGGCATGTCACCGGAGTTGAGTAGCCATGACCTGAAGCCTATTTTAGCTTTAAGTCTATTTTTTCAGAGCTACGCACATAAAACAGTCCACGGAATCCAAAGTAGAGAGATATAAAGCAAAATTACTTAAAAAAAACATGATTTGTCATCTTTACATCAGTCCTACGGAACATGACAGCTCTTTTAAAGTGTGTGCAGTTTTTGCTTTACCAAAAGTGTAGCCAGTAATTCACTCACTGTCTGCTATTTGTCTGTGTTTTGGACCATAGTTTTCCTTTTTCCAAAGTGGTTCTATAGGCTCCTCTGTGTGTTTTTGTACACCAAATACACGGGGGCGAGACTGTGGTTCAGTGGGCAGAGTGGTCGTCTCCCAGTGGGTTATTGGAGGTTCGAGTCACGGTGCCTGCAGTCCACATGTTGAAGTGTCCTTGGGCAAGACACTGAACCCCTATGGTTAGAGCCATTGGTGTGAGTTGGTGCCTCAGATGGCTGCTTTGGTTCTGTACTGGAAACAAATTTCTTGTGTGTAACATACAGTACTTGGCCAAATAAAGGTGATTATTCTTATCTTTAAGTACTTCCTAATTTATGCTAATAAACTTGATATTTTGGAACCAGGATCTGATCCAGTATTTGGACCAAGAAGCTCCTGAAAGATACTGTGTGCCAGATTAATTTCAGTTTTACTATGCCAGATATTTAATGAACATTTACTATAGAAAAATATAAGTATAAGGAATTGGATCCGTGTCGTGGTCAAAAACACTGGATTGGCATATCCTTGTACAAATATTTTGACAGTTTTGACAAATGGTTGAAATTCTTCTTGTCTAATGAAAACAAAAGATCTGCATCCCTATAAAGCAGAAGGGTGTTATAGGTAACTGTTGGTTTCAAAGGCTTGTGCCGGAGCTTGACACACATCAAATCAAATTTTATTTGTAT